CTTTCTGAGAAAAAAAATACAGACCGTTCTCTCTTCTTCTCTTTCTGTCCAAAACCCTTGAACGTGCTGTCTTTAATCAACTCTCCTCCTATCTCCACCGTAACAACCTCCTTGACCCCCACCAGTCAGGCTTTACGGCCGTTCCACAGAGACTGCTCTCCTTGCTGTCTCTGAGAAACTCCACACTGCTAGAGTCGCCTCTCTCTCCTCTGTCCTCGTCCTTCTGGACCTCTCTGCTGCATCTGACACAGTCATCCACCAGATCTTTATTTCCTCCCTTCAGGAACACGGTGTCTCAGGCTCTGCTCTCTCGCTTCTCTCGTCCTACCTCTGCGGCCGCACCTACAGTGTAACCTGGAGAGGATCTGTGTCGGAACCTTGTCCTCTTACTACTGGAGTTCCTCAGGGTTCCGTCCTGGGTCCCCTCCTCTTCTCGCTCTACACCAACTCTCACGGCGCTGTCATTCGCTCACAAGGCTTCTCCTACCACAGCTATGCCGATGACACCCAACTAATTCTCTTTTTCCCTCACTCGGATCTCTGCCTGTCTGACTGACATCTCTCAGTGGATCCGCCCACCATCTGAAAATCAACCCCGACAAGACTGAACTACTTCTCTTTCCGGGAAAAGATTCTCCGACCCAGGACCTGACAGTCAACTTTTGCAACTTCGTGCTAACGCCCACTTTGACCGCTAGGAACCTCGGCATCACACTCGACAGCCAACTCTCCCTGACTCCCAACATCACTGCGACAACACGATCCTGTAGATACCCGCTCTACAACATCAGGAGAATACGTCCTCTTCTCACTCAGAAGGCAGCGCAGGTACTGATTCAGGCTCTTGTCGTCTACCTCCTGGACTACTGTAACTCTCTCCTGGCAGGTCTCCTGCTACCACCATTCCACCTCTGCAGCTCATCCAGGATGCAACAGCTCAACTGGTCTTTAACCTTCCTAAGTTCTCCCTCACTCCTCCACTCCTCTGTTCTCTTCACTGGTACCGGTGGCTCATCCAGTTCTAAACACTGGTGCTCACGTACCACGCTGTGAATGGATGGGGTCCAACCCGACATCCAGGACATGGTCCAACCCGACATCCCAACCCGCACTCTCCGCTCTGCATGTGATAAACTGCTTGTTCCTCCTCACTGAGAGCAAAACACTCGACTAGATCACCACTCTTTGCTGTCCTGCTCCTAAATGGTGGAAGGAGGTCTCTGAAGACATCAGGACCACAGAGAGCCTTCACATCTTCAGACTAAAGACACACCTCTCCAGACTCTACCTCCACTAACACACTAACTGTAGCACTTACATTGCACTTATAATGGTTATTATCTATAGCAAGTTGTAAATTGGCTTATTTGAGTCAATTGAACTCTCTTGTTTCTTGTTCTTCTGAGTTTGTGTCCTTATGGTTGAAATGCACTTATTGTAAGTCGCTTTGGATAAAAGCGTCAGCTAAATGACATGTAATGTAATAATGTAATGTAATATTTAGACCGTTTTTTGGTATTTTTGACTTCCTTCCATATTTGGATTTTCTTTTAAAATAGAAATGTGTTCCAATATATTTTGACTTTTTTTTCAAATACATTTTTGACCCAATATTTATTGACTTTGTTTTCATGACATGTTTTGACGTAACATTTTTCGATTCCTCTTTTTACATCGTACTTTTTGAACATCCAACCCGACAGCAAACAGCGCTTCTCTTCTCGGCTCATCTACAAAACTCTGCTTTAAGTTCTTCCGCATCTTTTCTCTTCAAACCTTTCCAGATATCCCAGTCTACATGTCTCTTGATATTAATACATTTAAAAAAATGACCGGTTTGGTTTTAACGTCAGTAGAGTTCACACAAGAACACATCTATTCGGGTCCTACAGGAGGAATGAATGAGGTCCCGTAGTCGCTGTCCGTGGTGCTGAACTCGACCCGGTCGGACCCCCGCTGAGCCGCGTGTGTCGGGCTCGAAATCTACGGATCATCTAGTGCTTTAATCTACAGCGTGAACATCAACCCCTCATTGCCCCACAAAGTGACACCAGGAGCTTGAATGCTGAAGCGTTTATTGGAGCTCGTGTTGGCGGGTTATAGAAACACAGAGCAGCTTTACAGAGAGAAGGAACACATCAGCAGATGATGATCACTTCGTCCTGCACATTTTTCCAATGCAAATATACTTGAAAATCTCTCCAATTATTTCAAGGTTTCTCTGGTTCGGGTCCACGGCTCGGTCGACCTGCGGGGCTAACCGCGTATGTTCATTGGAGCGGGAGCCGCAGCTTCTGGCTGCGCATCGAAGAGAGCTCGGGAAGCCCGCATGTTCAGTGGAGCGGGAGCCACCGGAACCGCAACATCTGGTGGCGCATCGAAGAGAGCTCGCTCTTCACGCAGCGGCAGATTGCCTGAGAGAGAGAACAGCGTCATCAGAGCACGTGCTACATGTATGACGTGTGTCATGTGTGTGAGGAACACCACGTTGCGTGTGTTTCAGGGTTCACTACTTCTTCACACTAGGGTTGTACTCACCGAGGTTCAGTGACGTCACGGCGTTGATGAAGAGCACCGAGAGCAGGACAGCGGTTAGCACAGCTGGACGCATGATTCCGGATTAATGAAACTTCTACAAATAATAAACTACAAACAAGGCAAATATAAAAAATAGCACAATGACAACAAGAAGAGTACCAACATTTACCAACTATGTACACTATAAATAGAAGTAAATATGAACGTGACCAAACTCTGGGGATGTTGAAGCAACATGGTGGTTCTGTGGGGAGTAAAGAACCACCATGTTGCTTCAACACTTTAACAAACCCGTTAAGCTCCAAAGCCCTAAAATAACAAAATCAACGTCTGTTTACTGGTTTTGTTGAGCACAAACTCCATTAAAACGAGGACAGAAGTCCCTCAAACGTCCCTGTGACAGATTCAGCATTTGATGAATCGTCCTGAAACAGAGAGAAGCTGCTACTCACCACGGTTCCTCCTGTAGTCTGATGGCCAGGTGGATCTTCTCCTCCCTCTTATTCTCTAAGCTCACAGCCTGTGGACGTGTCTCCAAAAGGATAATTTCTGATTAATCATCAGAGCAAACAGTGAGGGACAGTTCCCACGTCTCTGAGAGCGAGACGGTTGGAGGTGTGTGAGAAGAATCAACACTAACGTTTTACTTGGGATGCTTCACGAGGACGCTCAGAGGCTGCAGGCAGGTTACCTTCATGAGAACTTTTGCTTTGGCATCAATAAAGAGCCAAAAGTGGAAGGGCGGAGACGACAAACATCAGTGGACAGACTCAATGTCCCTGAGTTGAGTTCATGATGCCCAACGCCCCCCTGAGGCCTCACACCGTGGACCCTGATCCCTCAGGGACATGAGGCCTCCTGGTGAGAGTCTGCGGGGACTCGTACAGGAACACGGCACCATGGCAACGGCAAATAACACGTGAAATCTAGGGTCATTTATACTTTTTACTCCCCGATTTGAACGTCTTCCATGCTGTTTCTTCACAAGATGACGTTGTTTAATGTTTTCACAGGTTTTCTTTATTGACTAAAACATTTGATGAATAAATGAG